TTCAAAGCAGCACACCATAACTATAAGCCTACATTCTCTTAAACTGCACGCATCCATAGCTCAAATGTTAACTGCATCACTGTTAATCTTAGAAGCAGAGCAACAGTTGTGCTCCCAAATGACCAACTGGCACTCCTAAAGTACTTTTTACCACATTTGCAGAATTTAAAGTTTTTGTTAAATTGAGCATACTTTTTTTTGTTTTGTTTCATTTGGAAAAAACTGTGCCTGAAGCTTGCACTTGTAAAAATCAGTTTTGGCGTCAGTTCCAGGTTTTCTACGCTAATTCCCTCTTTCAGACCATCTCAAATATATTCAAATATCCTATATATTCAAACTAAATACTCATTTTAATCAGACTATCAGCAGTGTTCTGTTTCATAAGGTTTAATGAAAGGACCTAAATATGAAGAACCAGCTTATCAGGAAGGGCTATTGAGGTTGCACCACGAGATATCACAGATTCACAGAAATCTGTTATGCCCCTGTATCATTTGAGTCTCCAATTCTACCTTATACCCCAAATAGAACTGTACCCTAGGGAACATATATTGGGTTTTTAAATTAAGACCCATTCTTTGTCCAATGATTAAAGTAGGATTAAAGTAGTATTGGAACAGTGATCTTTGAAGTTACAGTAAGTGGCTTGGTTTAGACAAATTCAAAGGGGTTGCCCAATTCCTGTTGCGATTTTCTTCAAAACATTAGAGGATTTTGCACCAGTTGCAATTTGGTGATAATGTACTTCATGTACTGAAAACTACACCACTAAAATAGCATTAATATGTAGGAGTGTAGTAGACTGAAAATAAACATGTATTATCCTTTGCACTCACATCAGCAATAATGCTTCTTAATATTTCACTATTCTGACCAACTAAAGCTTAATTTATTATGCTTTTTCCACACCATTTAAAAATTTAATTTTAGCTTTCCTGCTTCCAGTACTATCTGTTGTAAGAGTCCATTAAAGAAAAATAATAATCAAAATGAAGAAACCTCTCCCTCCCTTCTGCTGATGCAGAGCCTACAGAGAATTCCATAAGTACAACAAAAGTAAAACACACTGAGGCATTACTTAGTGTGATTACCGAGCTGCAGCCAAGACAGTCACTTTGCCAGAAAAAAAGAAGATTTAGAAGTCTATTTTATGTCTCTGAACTGGCTCCGGAAATAATGTAATCACTGGAAAATGCAAAGATGAACTCAAAAGAGTTGCATCTCATTTGCTAATGAATACCACATTGACAGTATGGATAAATTTCAAAAAACCTTCATCTTTTCTTTTCCAAAAATCAAATGACTAAGCGAAATAACAGACTCACTTGCCTTGAGACACTAAAACTCTGTCATTTTTATGTGAAAAGGCACTCCATTAACTAAACTTCACTAAGGCAACATAAACTGTTAAAAATGAATGTGCATTCCTCCATGTACCATTCTTCAGGCACAACACATTGAATCACAATACTAACAGATATTACAGCTTATGATGGAATATGCTGTTGCATCATATCAGGGTAAGATTTATTAAATTCACTGGGTACTTACTCATATTCTGGTTGTTCATTTTTTACTTGCCCTGTGAAATAGAAATGCTTTGTTTCTTTTGTTTTTCAAGACACTATAAAGACAGCTTCACTAATTTAGTGGCAAAACTTTTTATATGTTAACTGAATAGTAAGGTAGTACTTCCTACTGTAAGTAGATATTAGTCAAATGTCAGTTACGTTTGTGTATTTAACACACTGCTCAAGATCATTCTCACAAGTCTACTGGAGTGAATACAGGACTTTGTTGTCTTGTTGAGGACGTATAAAGGATCATTATCTTAAACATGATTTCATAGGTTTTGATCACATCTAACTGAATGATAAAAAGCCAACTTGTTTCTCAGCATGACTTTTCTCAGAAACTTTTTTCTGCTTTTTAAAAGAAAGCTATATTAAGTGAATGAATGACTCAAAATTGAAAGACGTACATCCAAAACTGATAGGTGAAAAAACATGAAGCTTGGGAGGACATAACCTGCTTCAACAATTAAGAATCACAGGAAGCGCCTATGTTTTTGGTTAACTATTTTTTCAAGATTGCCACCTAATCTAAGTCTCTTATTTCTGCCATTCAGTACATACATATATACTTGTTAGCCTCTTTATTCTCATTTAAAATTCAATTTTAAGAACATAAGAACAGTAACAAGAACACTTTAATATTAGTTCCATTTACAATGTAAACACTTTTCTAATAGAAATACTAGGCTTAAGACATGAATCATATCTTATCATAAAAGCCAGGCACTTCATCATACTTGAATGTGTGCACAAGTTGGGGGACAGAAAACTTTTGGGTGCATATTTCTTCACAGCCAATGAAAATCCATCATGTTTGTTAGTGTAGGTTGTTATACAGAATCCCCTGGTTGTGTGAGGTGGGTCAACTTGACCAATGGCTCTACTGTCATGTTAGGCATACCTGATATTTGTTATCATTTGTTTTTTTAAAGCTGAAAGCCAACTTTATATGTGCAGCATTAAATCAAATAAAATTATTCTGTACATCCAAATACACTGTGTTAGTTGAATTAGTAAGTTTCATTTAACTTGTTTCCCATGGATATACAGTACATCTATATGCTACAGAAATATAAAAAGAAACCTAGACAGTCCAGTTCAGTGCTGTGTTCAGCTCTGGAGGAACGATAAATACTCCATATAGAGCTAGGCCTCCAAGTAACTGTATCAATGTTCCTCAGATGTCAGACGTGTGGTCACAGAACACTACTGTTCCAGCACCATGCTGTATGAGTTATGGGGCCAAGGCATGAAAAGAAAATTACCAGAAACATTTTCATGGCCTGCCCCTTCCTTTCCTACTGTGGTAGCAACTACACAAGTTCTGTAATATTCACCTTAAATTCACTGATTTTTAAAAACCCATTTGAAATAAACTCTTAGTAATTTAAAGACTAAAATCAACTACATGCATGCAACTACACAGGGATTTATATAATCCTAGCAAAGTGTGCATAATTTGTAAAAAAAAAATCTGATGAAATACTTCTTTGTTTTTGCTTCCCAGTCATCAGCTTTCAAGCTCTAATTATACTGGAATAATCAGCATTCCTCTGCAGACTTGAACAGTTTAGCCTACATACTGTATACAATGCAGCTTTTAAGACAAATCTGTTGGAAAAAAAATCTAATATATGTGTTGTTTATGTTTGTCTGTTATTTTCTTTAAGAAAACTGAACAACAACCCTTTCCTAAAGTAATTTAGCTCAATACTGTCACCAGACTTCTCATTGACAAAGTGGCAATTAAAAAGGAAGTTTCCAAGATGTTATCATGACATTACCCTAATTTTTATTATCAGACTTCGTGTAAAGGATTCCAGACCACCTGAACTGCAGAAAACAGAGACCAGTGAAAACAATACAGAATCCTAAATCAGAAAACAAACATTAACACCACTATCGCTGTGTTGCATTAATGTTGTGCTGTATCTTTTCCAGCAGCCTGAATATCAAACACCTTAAATAATGGTACCAGGAACTACTTTAACAACTTACATTAGAATGAAAATTACACTACATGAAAGCCGTAGATACAAAATATCTTAATAGATTTAGCTGTGCATTTAACTACATTTCAACACTACATTCAAGATTAATTTTATTCAAAAGTGGTCTCTTACAGCTGTCTATCTTTCAAGACCAGTTTAAAGTTTAAGGTAAGTAATCTCACCAGACACTACAATTGCCCCTAACCACAGTTAATAGGCTTACTTTGCATCAGGAGAAAGAGGATTTTCAAGAGGTTCCCAGAGGTACCACTGAGACTACGTCACACACATTGTGTGCTTTATGATGAGAAATAAATGTCAAAAACTGAGATGAGCTTGTTTATTTTGCATTAATATACATTCCTATTGTAAGAAAGGACCCCCAACTGTTTTCTTATTTCTAAGCAATATAAACTATTCGAAATATGGCCTATTTATCAGGTGGTACCTTTGATCTCAGTGAGAGGTTAGCACTGTTCGTTGTTCGTCAACACTTTCATAATACTATTGCAAGTTTTCCTTTATACAACATGGTATTTGATCCAACAAGAAATGAAGTAGGAGAACATCACGGAACCTATGAAACCCCCTGAACTATGCACACCATATTTTAAGAATTCTGGTCTCACGTGTGGAAATTCTTTGAAACACTACATGACTGGGACTTTGATTGATCGCTCTCGATGAACGATAGAACAGCTGCACACATTACCACAACTTCACTTACACTGTTTCTAAATGCACGGTCTTCATATAACGAGTGCCCACCGATTCACCGATGAATTACTGTAGCTACCATTTTTTGCAAAGGAGCCAGGCTTAGTAGGCGTTTTACAAGGGCCAAGAAAGACTATGCAGCGCCTCTCCTTGAGAAAGGCGCAGCTGACCAGGAAATCAGGACCACTACATGATTCACTTAAAAATACACCTAAACTTGATGATACGGCGATATTTTCATTTCACAATCGCAAACGTTACGTTTAAAATAATTAACTCTTAAATAATCAGGCTGCCGCAAAATGTTTGTGATCGATTCATATTGTGAAGCTACAGTATTTAACCCTTGTTTCTTACACAAACATAAACATCCTTTTTTTTAAAAAAAAAGAGGGGACATTCTGTAAATACAGTGAAGAAAAAACATTAATGGGAAGGTTATGGATAATTTAGACTGCGAAGTTCAAACATAAGAAGCATCAGTTTTCCCCATGTTTCATCAAAGGATAATCTGAAATCCCAGTTTGATTTTGTATAGCCAAAACTGCGAAACGACAATCACACAAACGCTACTACTATGGAGCATATTTACATACGAAAATCGGATGCAAAACTTTAATTTAAGCAACCTTATCACCGCTAGAAATTCTGAAAGACTCATCCCGTGCAACCTGGTGTAAACACGACGGTTTTAATTAAAAAGCTCATGTTTTCTGACCTGTTGCGTCCGCTCGGCCGGGTTTTTCATCACCGCCTGTCGGAAACTGTTATCCACGTAGGACGCCATTCCTGCTGTAAAAAATACGAAAGTGCACGGCACAAATGCGTGTCTTCTTTTTAAAAAATCAAATAGTGAATCTCTTGTCCACTTTGTTCAAGTTTGTTTTTAAAGACTTTGAAAATGTGACAGCTGAAGCTCGATCCCCAGGCCACAGTCAGAGCCACGGGGTTTATTTAGTATTCAGTCCCTGATCCCGGAGGACTGGCTTGGGATCAGGCTAAGAATAGTACTCCCTTCTTCTGATCTGCCGCCGGAACAAATCCTTCTTGTGGATTACAATATTTCTCTAAGTTTTTCTGTGACCAGTTAAATTAAGGTGAATTCAGAAAATATAACAGTGAAACAGACGTTCCTTTATCCAGACGCCGGGAAAGGTTAGTCTCTTATCTTCTGCATTCTGATTTTGAAACAATTCCAGGTTTCCTTTTAAAAGAATGAATAAAATTTTACCACTTTACAGTTACCCATTTAGGCCATCTGTAAAGTAATAGTAAAAACTAGTATCCTTTGTTCATTACATTTGAGGAGAAGACCGCCACGGCTTGCTGCTTTGTGCCACCATGGTGACTGACGGAGGAAAGCTTATGGGCGAGTCCATTGACAACAATATCATTCATGGAAGAATTTACAAATTTAAAAAGCTCTTTGTCGCCACCTATTAAAAGAAACCGGAATGGCAGAAATGATACTGGGATAATTCAGAAAGCTTCACTGCCACCTCGTAACCAAATTAGAGTAACAAAGAAAATAATCAAAGAAGATTTAATCTGAGAGTTAGACAATGAAACCGTGATCCGATTAAACAATTATTGTTTGCCCATTACAGATTGCTGCCTTGTTAAATTATAAGCAGAGGATCAGCATTGTAAACACCAAGTGATATTAAGGCAGAACTGTTTTCGCAGTGATAATATTCTTAGTTGTAAATGCTTTACAGAAACCCATATCACTGTACAATGGCGCAATACCCAATAAGGTAAAATGGGGGTAATTACTGAGTACCTCACAATAAAAGTTCAGTGACATACTGAATAACAACTGTCCACAGGTACAGCTTTCGGTATTATTCATAACTGTAGGACCACATAAAATCTTACTTTTTTAATACACCCTTTGAGTTATAATTTATATTTATATGTTATAATATTACAAAATCAAACACATCAAAGTCTAGGTATGATTTTTGTTTCTGAAACATACAGATGAATTAACATGCCATTTACTGTATTTATTAATTATAATTTATATGTTCTTGAACTCTATTTTTGTTAATAGATACAATTTATCCCGAAGATTAAAGATAAGTACTAAACAAATACAGTTATGTACACATTATTCTCTGGAGTCGCTATTATATTAATGCTTATCTTGCTGTTTAAACCGCTCTGTTAGAAAATTAACTGGATTGTCGTATGATTGGTTTCAGTGTAGCTGCTGTATTTGACTCTGTCGAGTCAGCTAATACGCAATCATGTTAGTTTTAAAATTACTTTAGTTGCTGTACAAGACACACAAAAGCCCTTCGTTTGACCTCCTAAAAGGACGTTCAGGCATTACTTGTCGTTTAAAAATCCTGCTGCAGTAGTGTCTGCCACACAAAACAGATATTGTAGCAACCGAGGCCATAGCAACGCTCCACTCACCTCCCCGGAGTACCTGTAAACTTGGCTTCCTGTCCTTAGAGGGAAGTTGTTGGTTTAAAGCGTCCTTAAATTAAAAAAAAAAGTAAGGAGACGAAGGACAGAAGTAAAATATGACCAGCAATAAATACTCAGGTGCTCAGAGGGGACATCCGGTATATAGTCAAAGAATGCTTTTTACAGGTATTTATTTTGCTGTTGTTCTTATCATTTACCAATAGAATACTGGTGGTACTATATACATAATAAGTCATATTGATCATTTTAAAGTTTTACATATCATTCATCAAACTATAATTCACGTGTGTATACATTGATTCAACGGGATGCGGTTCCATCACTGTGGTACGTGTGCTTATTTTTCACAATAACAACCCTGCAAAATTGCAGCATGCGTCACTGTAAAGATCGTCTTCGTTCCAATTACCACTAATACCCGAAGAGTAATTGTACCTTCTTATTGAAGGATATAATTCTGGTATTGCGTGTGACCCATATGACTAAAAAGTATGCCTTTATAGATTGCCAAAAATCAATTTCCTAATTGACAATAGGAGGCTCACTTGGTGTCACGCCGAGATAATAATACATTCAAACAATATGTTAGGATTCAAATGTATATTTGTCTAATATAATACATTTAGCAAACAATAATTTAAAGTCACATCCTTTGTTCAGTGTTCCCTTACTGAACAGTTTAGGTTTGTTAATGTTTAAATACATTTAGCAGTTTTATATAGTGTAATGTCTTCATACTTTTAAATAAACATTGTTTTTACTTGGATGTGTTACTCTCCAGATTACTCTCATCCTTCTCAATGTATATTTTAATTCAAACGTTTATTAGAGTTCACCTATAAAAAAGAAAGCAGCCATTAACAGTGGCCAGTCGTTTAAAAAAAGGAAGGCTATGAACGAACGACAGGACACTCGTACAATAAAGATATTGTTCAAGGAATGTTCGTCATGTTTGTTGTTCATTCATAATTTACTCTCTATCTGCTACGCACATTTTCAGGTCCAGATGGTATAGGTGACTACAGAGTGAGAGTGGCTGACTTTCCTCGTTATATCGGAGTGGGAACTTTGTCTCCTGAGGGAACCAGTGAGCTTGATTACATGCATCGTGCTGCTCCCGGCACACCTGCCCCAATGCCCAAGCACTGCTATGTTGGGGGAGTGGGATGGGGAGTGCAAGAGTACAGTGCGCTAAATGCCAGGAATCTACACAGCAAGATGCAGTTCCAGGTTTTTAAAGTACCTTAGTCTTCTGTGTTTAGTGTAGAAAATGTCTTTAAATAATCTTCTCCGTATTTTGAAATAACTTCAATAAGAGTATCTTCATTGAAAGACATATCAATAATAGTTAGACTGTTAGAGCAATGGTTGGAGCATTTTTACCATTCATTTCCGACATCTGATGTGTTATAATACATTACAGTTGTCTTTCATCAATAAACAATCTTTACCTTCCATGGCCAAAATATTTAGATTTAAGGGAGATGTTGTTTTTTAATCTTAATTTTGTTTTTTCTTAATTAAATTAATTATTAATTGATTGCAGCACTGAAAATATGTTTAATGATTTTTTTGTATATTCTAAGAAATTGTTTACTTATATATAATTCTTGGGGGGAGGCAAAAACCGTAATGAATACAAACAGTGTATATAATAAAGCATAATCTGACGGTCAGAAAGGTTGTGATAAAGGTGCTCATAAAAATTTAGTTCTCAAATCACCGGCACTATGTAACCTTTGTAGTTGGGTTAAGAATTGGTTACTAGTAAAAAATAAGAGAGTAAGAGGTAAATATTCCAATTGTGTGATGTAATTAATGGAGTACTCAAGGTATCTGTATTGGAGCTATTTTTAAGTTTTGAGATGCATTCAAAGTATTATAAAATGTGTGGTAACATTTATTTTATAAGAAACACCTTTATCTGATGATTTCAAAAACAGGAAATATGTATTATACAGTATGTGACAATATCACTGCAGAATTTGTTAAATTGTTTTATTTGCTATTGTACAGTATCTTTCACTTAATTTGATCATACGTTTCTTTAGCTTGCAGAATTCCGGCAGGCATGTGAAGAAAGAGTGACTCACAGTTATCAAAATCCATGGTATGTATTAATTTACAGGGTAAACCTTTTGTTTTTTTAATAAAGCTGTTTATATATGTTTAATTAAATTAACTGATAAAACGAGACAAACCAATGTATATAGAAGAAATGATTTTATCAAACAGCACCTTACAATAAATAGGAAGAACTTTACTTCTTTTCTCATATAAAGGTCTTAACATTTAGACTATGCTAGATATACTATAGTGCTTTTTCAAGATAACTGGTCAAATCATGTGCTCATGTATTCAAGGCTCTTTCCAAATTATCTTCAAAGAAATTAATAGAAATATACTGTATATTTCCAAGATAGGATACTTGTACCTGTAGCACATGTTCACACTTGCAACTATGATTGTTTAAATTAGAATCTTTCTTACTCCATAGAAGTAAGCACTGTGCATATTGATACATAATTATCATAGTCACTGTATACAGTGATGTGAAAAAGAAAGTACACCCAAAATACACCTTCTTAAGATTCTGTGGTTCAACGTATAAAGGCATATCTGACCTTCACCTAGTCCTTACACTAGATAGTGACAGATAACACACATACATTTTACTTTGTCATTATTTATTAAAATGAAAACATCATCAACATTCAGAAGCCTTGTGTGAAAAAGTGCACTGTTAATGCTTCCATATCAGTTAAGAAGGCAATTAGAATCAGGTGCTGTTAAAAAGTGCACATGATAAGTTTATCATCAGGAAGTGCTCCCATCTGTAAACTTTATCAATTTGGTTTGGAGCATACAGGTTTGTGGTAAGACATCATGCCTAGGTCAAAATATATCTGTTACAATGTCAGAGAAAGAATCGTTTTTGATCATCAGTCTTTGAAGGATCATAAAGCCATTTCCAAACAGTATGAAGTCCATCATTCCACAGTGAGAAAGATAATTTACAAATGCAGGAAGCTCAAGACACTTGCCAATCTACCCAGGAGTGGGCATTCCAGAAAATTCACCACAAGATCAGACCATATGATGCTCCTAGAGATCGCAAAGAACCCCAAAGTTACATCCAGAGATCTAGAGGCTTCTGTGAATAAGAACATTAGAGTTCTTGATTCTACCACAAGCGAGACTAATAATGAATGCCTTTCATGTTAGGGTAACCAGGAAAAAAACCCTTCTTTACAAAAAGAATATTGTTTCATGGCTTAATTTTGCAAAACAGCACTTGAATGAACCACAAGACTTCTGGAACAACATCATCTGGACAGATCAAACACACCAAAGTCGAGTTGTTTGGCTGTAATGGAAAATGACATGTTCAGTGAAACCACACTCTACGTATCACCACATGTCATGTCAACCGTTAAGCATGGTGGTGAAGGGGTGAAAATGTTGGCCTACTTTGGAGCTGCAGGACCTGCACGCGTTAAAATCATTGAGTGCTCCAAGAATTCTTCTCTATACCAATGCATTCTAGAGGAAAATGTGAAAAAGTTTGTCCAGCAGCTGAAGCTTAGCTGAACGTGGATCAAGCAACAGGACAATGATCCAAAACACACCAGTAACCTACGATTGAATGGATGAAAAACAAAAGAATCAGGATTTTGGAATGTCAAGTGTCATGTCAATGTCAAGTCAAAGTCCAGACCTCAATCCCATTGAGATGCTGTGGCAGGACCTAAAGAGAGCTGTGTATAAACAAATGCCCTCAAACATCACTGAGCTGAAGCAGTTTTATAGGGTGGAGTGGGCCGAAATTCCTTCCAGGTGATAAGAGAGACTGATTAACCCTTACAGGAACATTTACTTGAAGTTATTGCTCCTTAAGGGGGTTCCACACATTACTGAATCACAGGGTGCACTTACTTTTTCATAAGGCTTCCATATGTTGGCTGATTTTTTGTTGTTTAATAAATAATGACAAAGTAAAATGTCAGTGCGTTCTCTGCCACATGAGAATAGATTTCTCTACTGTTAAAACTTGGCGAGGACTAGATGATGGTAAGAAAATATGTAAATATGTTAATATGTAAAACCATAGAATTGTAAGGGAATGTACTTTGTTTTTCACATCACTGCTTCACTGCTTGTTTTTTTTTTATCAAATGCAGTACTTATTTAAGAATATTAATTTACAATTCATTAATTTCTAGGCAGCCACCTCCCCGTGTTCTTAATGAACAATCTGCAGGAGCCCGTGGTAAACTTGCCTGGACACAAAATGTCTACCAGAATTATTACCAGCTGTCCCAGCGTAACATGGTGAGAAAGTGGCAAACACTACCTGAAATTTAGCCTTAATGTGACATTGAAGATAATAAGAAACCTGTTGTATGCTATACAATTATATTAAATGAAAATAATGAAGGTCACAATTAAAACAGAAAAAAAGACGTTTTTAGGTTTTAAATTCCTGGTCTCATCAATACTTTAATTAATTCCACTACGGTTTTGCACTGTTTCTCATTTGTGTCAATAGATCTCTTCTGAATGACTGATCTAGTTCTGTTACAATCATTATTAACCAGAGACTGTTCAGGCAAGTAGTTAAATTAAATTCATTAATTGGTTTGAGGTTCAGCACCACACAGACTAGCTGCTAGTATTGTATCAATCAGCTCTTGTGCTGATCGATACTGTAACTGGTTATGCATTAAGTTGCCTCCCTTATTTTTGTACACCAATTCTCTTTATTTGAGGGGGATACAGATAACTAAAAAGGTGAAAACTGGGATAATGTTCACCCATATCATAAATATATACAAATATAGTGTATACCACATAATTAATGAAAATCAGCATTAAAGTGTCAAATAATAAAATAACACGACAGAGAAAAAATACAATACTGTACTGTTTTCTTTTAAGAAAAAAAATATAAAAATGAAGCACTTTTACAGTTGTGGAATGCAGTATCTTTCAGGAAGATGTGATGAAACAAGAGAAATGCAATGGGTAACACTGAGGAAAATGCACGCAAACATTTTCAATTGAACCTCTTAGACGATCTGAGAATCTTCCCGCCTCTGACAATGTCCTAGAAATGTCAAGAATGCCTCTGAAGTCAGCCATGTACTGAAAGGTTAAACAAATACAGTGCTAAATCTTGAACATGAAAAGACCGTGAAAAGTATTTTAATGATATACCACCAAAAGTACCTTTTGGTAACTAAGTGCCTTTAGTTAGTATTTCTTGGTACTGATCAGTGTCCCTCTCGTGCTGTTCTCACCATTCAGCTTTTTTAATCTTTTCAAGAGCTGCTGGTGTTTTGATTGATGATTTCCACATTTCAGTAGTCATATTCCAAGACAGAATTGTCTTTGTTTCTAATAAGCCTGAAGTCCATTTTTGATGGTGTCAATCTTAATGTTTGGACAATAATAAAATACCAAATTATAATACAAGAATTACCTTTTGTTCTTTCACTGTTTGATAGTTACTGTGCCTATAGAAAATGTACATACCATTTCAAAATCTTTACTTTTTGTTGCCTTATGGTCTGGAATTAAAATGCCTTCGTTTTCATTTGTCTATACTGTATATCCTACCCCACAACTTTCAAGTAAAGATTTTTTTTTAGAAAATCATTAAATATAAAACTGAAATAGCTTGGTTGGATAAAGTGTCCACCCACCTTATAATACCAATAATACATTAGCTCAGATGCAACTAGTTGCCTTCAAAATCACAGTTAATTGGCCTCCGCCTATGCTGAATTTCACACAACCTCAAGTTAATTTTAACAGTCCCTGTAAATTCCCTCTGCTGCATAGTGCATTTCAAAGTAAATACTCAACGTTTTGTACAAAGGAACTTTTAAAATAATTCCAGAAGAAAGCTGTGGAAAGGCACAGATAAGGGGATTTATGTTAATAAATTTCAAAGGCCTTTAATATCCCATGGAGGATGGTAAAACAATTATTAACAAGTGGATGGTGTGTCTCTTCAACAAGACCCTACCTATATCAAGCTGTTCCGCCAAACTGGGTGACCGAACAAGAAGCCAGTAGCAAATGTGAAAGAGTGACAGGCTCTTTTACATCTGAGAACAATATCACAAGCACTTCTCATATCTGGCAAGAAGGAAGGCATTACTCAATAAAGCCCTCTTTGAACCCCGTTTTGATTCTGTATCCATGTGGCAAGAAGATTTGTGGTCTGACAATACTGAAATGGAACCTTTTGGCCTAAATGCAAAGTGTTACGTTTAGCACAAAGCCAACATAGCACATTACCCCCCCAAAAAAACCCCAACTGTGAAACATGGTGGTGGCAGCACCATGTTACTGGGTATTTCTCATCAGCAGGGACTGTGGCACTTGTCAGGATAGAAAAGAAAATGAATGAAACAAAGTACACATTGTAACATACTGTACACGTTGTGGTGTAAATGATACTACTATGAGTGAGACATCATAGTTAAAAGTAACCATTTCTATATATGTGAATAAATTACTATATAATTTACAATGGCATGGCACAGAAGTAGAAACTGTGCAAACAGAAAAATGTCTAAGACTGACAGCAGATTCATGACTTTCTATACAAATGTTCCTAGTGTATAACATTAGAACATTAATGAAAATTGGTACATATACTTTGAATATATCCTTGTTTCTCCAATTTAACATCATTCCACGTGAATACATATTTTTCCATTGTATGCTATACATAATATGAACTACCTCATTTATTACACAAAATCATGGAAACATTGTTCATAATAAAAATGTACAGCCACATTTTATCCTTTTTATTTGTTAATGTTTACTCAGATTCTTCACCTGATTTTTTTAAACAAAGATACAAACATGAAGAATTGCTAAAACATACCGTGGACATGAATTTACCAGTAATGCAATTGTTCAAAATTAAGCTTAGCCTTGAAATTAAATCACTGCCCAAACAGAGACATCTGCTGACAACAGGATGTAGTACAGGGCCTTAGGAGTCACTGAAGTCTTACTGATCAACTTATTCAATAGTAACAGTACAGAATTGTTAATATATTCCATCTAAATGACTATTTTAAGACATTCTCACACCATCCTTTTGTTGCAATAGGATAGAGAGAATTGCTTACTACAGGTCAAGGTGGTAAGCGTGTTTATATTTTACAGTTGCAGAGAAAGAGCATCAGGAGCTCTTAATATTTTATATACAGTATTTGATATTGATATATTTAAGATGCCTACCAAGAGAATAATGTTTTGATCATTCAATTTATTATTAATAATAGCTGATAAAAGAATACAGTATTTAGAGAAGGAATTATGAAAATTAAAAAATACTCCAACTGGACATCTCTTTCAGAAAACCATTGTGTTCTTATCAACATTTTTAGTGAATGTTTGTAGTCGGACTATAATGTTTATTATATGACAGAAAATCTTGAAAATCAGAGGGGAGATTTTCCATTCACCAGTGATATATTAAAATACTATTTTATATCTAAGCTTAATTTTGGTTGAAAATAATGTCCTCCAATCAAGAAACAATCAGTGCTTATCTTTAATGTAGAGCAAACCAGCCTGCACTGTCTCTAGATCAGGACCCTGTTGACCATCTTAGGAGAAATAGTGTAATAACATCCTGTCCAGGGTAACCCAATACTCTGCACGAGCTCTCGTTTTTCCAAATACAATGGCAGGCTCAGCTTTCACAAGGAAAGTACTGAATGGTTTTCTCTTACGGAAGCCTAGAATTGCAATGCAGGGTTTCTGTCACTGGTAAACAGTAAATCTAAAAGGTATACTAGAAAATGACTAAGTGTTTGAATATTCTAAAACCTTTTAAAAAAAAACTTTCTAAGGATGTTGTTGCTTCATTAAACACTGGTTAAGTGAGCCTTAAGGTGAATACTGTAAGTTGTTAAATATTTGTATCTTCAAAAAATATTGCCTCATTTCTAATCTCAAAATCAGATTTACTGGGCAGGGGGTATAAGTAAATACAGAATACACACTGCCTTGAATGGAGGACAAAATTAGTGACATTCACAAATCTTTAAAAAAATTATATTATGAACATTACCCTAATCAAAATGAAAATAGTGTGTGAAAGTTTACATTCCCTTCAGATTTTTAATTCTGAAGGTTTTAGGCATGTATTTGCCATATCAGCATAAAATTTGCATAATAAAACTAGAAACCTTGTATTATAAAAATCACTATTTAGACATTAAGACCACAAATTATGTTTATCAGCAGACCAGAATGATTTATTTTATACCACGTTTAATATGGAATTAGGTTTAGCATTCAAGAAATGCGAAATGCATTTTTGTGCAATATGAGATATTTCACAGTTCTGACAGTTTGCTCAGTAAAATAATTATTTTGAAAACAAAGAAAATATACCTTTATTTATATCAAAACAGCAAACAAATGTAGCAAGTCACTAAATTAAAATGTATAATTGTTTTCCATAGCAGAAACAAGACTCCCAAGAAACCTTTTCAGATGTGCCTGAAGAGACCAGTCCCTTTCAAGACAATGAGGCGATGTAATAAAAAATCTCCTGCATTCTTCGTCTACTGTAAAAGCCATCAGAGGTTTGTTTTTGATAAGTCATTTTACTTAAATCAATTTTGAATGTATGGTCACTGAAGTTTCATCCGTTTAACATCCGATTGTGAAGAATTACCCAAAGACTTGATTTCAGATGTAATATAAGATATATAGTACATGCATTAAAGTTTTTGTTTTGGATGTTAGCATCCAGCAACAACTAGTACAGCACAACAACTTTATTTCATACACAGCAATTCAAAATTGCTATTCTGTTGCATACATCAGAAAGCACCATGGACCATGATGACCAGCTATGTTGAACTGAATTACAGTGAATTCTAGAATGTGTAAAAGAATTTCACTGAAAGTTTTAATCAAGACATTTACACGTCTGTAACATAACCACTGTGACCCATCAGGGTGATCTACACAAAATCTTGATCCAGCACTGAAGACTCTTAGTTACTGCTAGTGAATCTGTATGAGGTTTTGCTTCAATAGTGTCTTTATCAGGAAGGTGGTGCTCTCTTCATAAGTAATTTCTTATGTATAAAGGTTCCTGTTCTGTATTTTTCATTCCTGTTTTTTTCTCTAGGATTAACATTCAACAAGTCCAATGACCTCACGTGTTCAATCGGCTCTCTCAGCAATAAGGTGATTTAGTGCTTCTACAACTGGTCATGAATGAATAATGTAAAAAACACTTAATGTCCAAAATCCCTATACATTGCTTTTCATTTACACAAACATCAGCAACATGTAGTTGTACCTCTACTTCTAAGACTACCACTTTGTGAATAGCTGGTATGAATGTGGGCCTCCATCTTGTGCCATCTTGGGTTCCACTGTTCTGATTTGCACTATGTAGAAAGTCCATTGATTTAATGAAGAAATTAGTAGCTTAAGAATGAAACTCAGCAGTTTGGTGAAAAAATGACTTCACAGTGGTCTTACCTTATGCAAGTCAGATGCAGTTTACCTGTTTTTGGAAGGGTGAAACTTTTGCATTATTTTCCAAAGAAAGTGAACACCAGTTTTGATTTGCTCTAATTTTCAATGCTTAGAGAACTGTGATCCAACAGTGGTGTCATTAATGTTAATATGCCAGATATACACTCAGAATCAAATTGGCAGAACAGTAGAAGTTTACCAGTGTTACCAGGCTGTTCAATTAAAAATAAGAAATAAGACCAAATAGTCTTTGAGCCAACCTACTACTGCAAAAAAGTAAAATTCATAATTTCAGACATGTTATACTGAATTACTGTATTTGTATTGTGTCAGTATTTAACCTGAAACCAAGGAATAAAGAAAACCAAGTGACAGCACTCAACTGTAGAGGGAAGCGTTATTACCTTTAACAAAATTGCTTGCGAGACAAACTTCCAATCTTATTATTCAATCTAAATTTATATAAATGTAAATACATTAAGATTGTGTTCTGGGAGGCTTGAATGACATGGCAGAAGTGGAAAACAAAGCTAAAAAACAGCAGGTAGCATTTGTATCAGTTATTCAGCACTCTATAGGAACACAAAAAATAATGACAGATCTGGTTATGCATGTTTTTGGTTTAATCAGAATTACATGTTAAACTTCTCATTGCTTAACTGGAAAAATCTGACTATCAAAGTCCTCTCAGAAGATCCATTTTGAGCACTTAATCTTCCATGGAGGTCCAGCCTTAAGTTTCATAACATACCATAAAACCAAACAAGTTGCAATTTTGTTAAGAATGAATACCTGAGTGAGAGGACATTCTGTAAGTGCAATATGAAACCCAGACTATCACTTAAATGGACTAAAAGAAAGGTATAAATGTACTATTCACATCATGGGTTTTATGAGGAAAAAAGTAAAAGTAAAATGGTAGTTCTAAAGCATGAAAGAAGTGAATACGTGTTGTGCAATTCATATTATTTGCAGTTTATTAAACATGACCCAATACCGAACAGGAAATACAAAGAATGACAAACACAAGCAATGCCAGCTTCAATAACATACATATCAATTTCTTCATACATACCACAAATTTAATTCCATGCTCAAGACATTCTACACATACCTAAACCACATACATGCTATTACAGTGTAGAAACCTTTGTTATACAAATAAAATTGCTTATTTTGTGGTCATAACATTAACCAGAAGCTTAAATGAAGAACAAACTGTCACAAGAGAGAGACATTGACAGGTAAGACTAAAAAAAAAAACCCACAAAGGATAAAGTCCTGCCCACTGAGGTAGAGTTTAGTGTAAAACAATGTAAATTTTTAGATCCAGTTTAGATCCATAATTGGGGGAAAAAAAGCCATGGTTGTTAAAAAAGTTAAATACTTGTTAAAGCTTGTACTATCACTGCAAATTTGTAAAACAGTTTTCAGAAATCCATAGCAAACAATAAAAATCTTGCTTTACTTTTCAGTATTCAGTATGTAATTATACGATTCAAAACTACATACCTGGGTTAAAAACGGAATGAAAAAGCAGCATTCAATCACAGTGGACTATGGTCATTAAATGTAAAAGCACATGGTTGTCCATTTGAACTCTGTCATTAAGGAAATACCATTTTAGAACGCAAGCATTACAGGTACATGAATGCAACTCTGAGGCACAGTGTCTGGGCTTGGTTCAAGAAAATATCCGTGTACAATAAGCAACCCAACCTTAAACATTTACAATATTTTTTTTAGCTGTGACAACTATTTTCCAAAATGGATTTGCAGTGATTAAAGCTGGTTCAGAAGTAGTGTTATTTTCTACGTAATACACAAGATAGGAATCGATAATATGACTCAGTTTTTAGGAATACTGCTTTCCTTGTGCTGAAGGCACTCAAGTTTAATTCACAGATATTTACTACTGTGTATTAGAGACAAACCAGATTATTCAAATTTTAAAGAAAGAAAAATCTGCTCAGAATACAGAAGTGGCTGTTTATTAGTCAATTTTGCCCAAAACTAAATTTAAATGGTAATAGCACATTAGGATTGCTCTGTAATGAACCAAAGAACAAAAACAGCCTTAACAAAAAAACAAGTTGAGTTAAAAAAAACTTCTCACGAAACGAATACAATTCTTTATCCAAATATATATACACCTGGTAGCACATCTAGTCTCACAAAGATGTAAGTTTCAAACATTAAAAAAACTAGAACAGGTTGGCCATCTAACCTTAATTTTGACTTCATGTAAACTTTTACTTGTGACTGGATAAGGCTTCCCTCAAAACAAGTAAATATTTTTTTATCTCTTTTTGTCCCTTTATATTAATATCAGAATAACAAAATACCAACAACTCAAATTTAAATTGAGGAAAAAAAGCTCATACAAACCACCAGCCTTACGTTAATAGCAGGTTCTAAGACTGCATCAACTTGTCTTGTTTGAAACCTTTTCTCTCTTTGAAAGCATCAGCAGCTGCTGCGTTTTGTTCCACTATCCTCATTTAAATAACCTCAAATGAATTAACTCAAGCCACTTAAGAGTTCAACATCTTCCATGTCCTCCTTGCAGACATGAAAAAAATATTTATGAAGGTAGATTAAGATGCTGTGTTGTTTGTGGTGCAAAAGCTGTTCCGAGTAAAGAATCCCATTGTCTTTGGGTCAATGTATATTTGTAGATTTCTTGCAGAAAACGTTTAGTCCATTTCATGATTCTCATTCCCAAGATGTGAATTAAATCGATGCAGACCTTCTGTAAAGCCACATAGAAGACCGCTGTATTGTCAATATTCAAGTGCTGCATTCATCCTTTCAATGGCAGATAAAACATCCTAGTACAATTGCATTCTGGGAGGTTTAGTACTTGTGTCTTTTCCTGTTCTCATACATTTCTTTGTTGTCCGTCCGCAGTCTTATACATTTTTAAGAGGGGGAAGCTGTCCTGAGAATTTTTCCTTATAACAGTATTTGAGCAACATAAGGAGAATGTGTACTCGCCACAGCAGCAAGCAAAGGAAGGTCGTTTGATTCAATCCTGAAAAACAATAAAATTACTATAAACATGAGGGAAAAACAAATATTAGAATACATAGAATTTGTGAAAATGCATTTGGTTGAGTGCACTTACCAAATTAGAATACTATCAATCATACTTAAATTAAAATATAGACTTACCTGCATATACAAACAAATGCTTTCCACTTTCTAGAATACACTAAACCCTTGTTCAACACAGGTTTTTCCCAAAAGTAATTTGAGCATACACACAATAAAATATATGCTACCAATTATTTGCGAAAATTGAACGTTTTCATTATATGCGGTTTCTCCCTCTTGCCAACACTTCTGCATCACAATCTCACGTCTTGGACTTGCACACCTACAGCATTGGCGTCAGTGAAATTCTGCTCAACTGTTTTTGATTTTACAATTATCATTGGACGACAGCATGGCAGTGAAGCGTAAAGCATATAGAAATGTTAGTGAATATAAGTCAAAGGTATAACCAAAGATCGAGTGAATACCTTTGTCATCTATATGAATGGAAATATGTGCAACTGTTCAGGTTTCTGCCTCTATGCAGTGTTACACATTTTTCAAGTACCTAGTAGAAACATGAAAATTGAAGAAGTGGAAAAGTTATAAAATGCGTGGATAAGGTAGTAGTGCAAGTGACTTCAAAGCATGTAAAAGCTGGTTTGCAAAGTTTATAAAGTGATCCAACTCGCTTAATGTGAAGCTGCAAGGGGTAGCTGGATCATGAAGCAGCTACATAATTCAAGTTCCTGGAATTCCCAAAGGAGACAGGATATGCTATCAAACGGGTATTTAATGAAACTAGACTTTATAAGAAGATGGGCAGCAGGACTTACGTTAGTAAGTCTAATGCATCCACTTTCAAAGATTTTAAAGGATAGGCCAACTTTGCTTTCTTGTGGAAATCCTTCTGGTGATTTCAAATGCAAGCCTTTGTGAATGAGAATATCGGAGAAGGAGAATGAGCTCCTGGAATCCCATTACTGAGAGCCAAGAAATGAGGAGCTTGAAGAGCCGATAGCAGTTAAGCAGCCAGGAAAGCAATGATGATGCCTTATTGAAAAGGGGGAACCTTCTGAGCCCATCATAACAGCAAAGGCTGTTTCTAATTTTCTCTCTAAAGCACACTTACTGGTGTAGTGTTATGGACAGCAGAGTGATGTTTCAAATTCAAAAGATAACTTGAGCATATCCTTGTGCTTTATACAAGGAAATCTTGAAAGATTTTTAAAAAAATGGTCTCCCTTCTTTTGCATTCACAGTCTAAGCAGTTTTCATCCACTCCAATTTCCAGCATCCAAACTGTCAATGCCTGCATTACCTTCCATAGAGTTTGAGGTCACAAAGCCTAAGGATCCAAATAATCCATCACTATCAATTGGGAAATGTATGCATCCATGTTCAATATCCCCCTTTAAGCCATAAAATATTAAGTTTCTCCAACTCGAGTTCATTTAACATGCTATTCTCAAGTAATATAACTACAGCTTTAGATGAGGGATAACTGCAATTACAAAAGACTGTACAGGAAAAACAGTGGTTTATATAATGTATCTTCTTCACCACTAGATGGCACCTCACACCATATTAGTTCAATATAATTTGAGGCTCCCCACATACAGTGTACTATGTACTGTACACCTAGTGAATATATAGAGGACAACTCAGCTTGTGGCCCTTGCAATCCAATATCGAAAGATGTCCAACCAAGAGTATAAGAGTACTGAATTAGAAACAAAAGGATCAACATTATAGAGTAAAATTCCACAATGGAGTGGAAGGACACATTGTCATAGCACAGTTTTGGACTAACAGATGAAGGTACAGTTAATGTTTTGCTTAAAGCTCTGTTACCAAACCTCAGAGCCTAACCGAAAGCATGTTGACATGAAATTATGGAACATCTACTCAGTGATAATTTTCAGTATTTCATATTTATTTTTAGCAATATTAATCTTCTGAAATACATGTATACTGTATATTACAAAATCATTAATTAAAATACATACCCAAGAACTACTCCAAGTTCCTGGACGTGTACTCTGGTTTGTCCCTTTAAGTATTCAGACAACATCTTACTTTTGAAATACACCTCTTGCAGTCGGTCTTCAAGATGCATGACACACTTATTGAAAGGGTAAGAACAACCCAGTTAGTTGACATAAAATGAAAGCTCAAATTCAAATGAAAACATATGCATAATAAACAACAGAGATGCAAAAATTGTACATTATTTGCATTACTAAGAGTTCAATTTTGAATACTACATACATGTTTCACCATGTAACAAAAAACGATTTGCTGCTATCTAATTTGTCTGGAACAGGGAGATCAGATACATCATGGAGTCTAAAGGAAATGTCCTCTTCTAAGAGATTAAAAGAATATTTTTAGTTTGAAAAAGAGAAAACTATGAAGGTCCCTGAATCAGTTATTGAAAAAATACCTTGACAATGACAATCCAGTGAAGTTTTTCAGAACCAACAGTGATTCATACCAGAAAATACAAGAAGAAAGTAAGGGGAACTATATTTAATACCAGGAACAGGAAATATTTTTTACATAAATTACTACAAACTACCCAGATGTTGTAAAAGCTAATATCCTGACTTACTTCGAGAAACACATGGATGTGATTACAGTATCACTTAGCTAAACAGTAACCAAATAGGGCTGATGGGCGGATTGGCATCCTGTTGATCATAACATTTCTTAAGTTCTTATAAAATTGTAAAATACAGCAGTATGACTTTATATCAACAACAATAGCATGGCTGAAAACAGTCATTCAATGCATTAAAAATTAGGATGAAAGTGGGATACCCTAAATACAGTTAAATGGTCATACATTCTTGCCAAAATTTCCTCAGGTTGTTGTTGGCATGTGGATAACTATAACTCAATTTCATAGAAACATGCTTTCAAAAAAAAAGTGTTTCTATTAGCAAACAATTATTCTTGATAAAAATGCCACCAAAAAAGCACCGAAGTCTGCTTAAGCACTTAACCGTAGAAAACATTATCTTTTAGAGCAGTTTCTCACCACAAGGATCTCAGAATCCTGAACCACAGAGGTACCTCTACAACACAATGCTTGCCTTGTTGTCTATAGAAGACACTTTACAGGTGAAGTTTTTTTCTGATGAATTACTCACAAAGGTAGGAGAAAGGTTGAGCTTAGAGAGCTGAAGCATGGAATGCAGCAGGTTAGAAACAAGGCTGGAGACCAGGACATCCTTTCCCAGTTTGTTTGAATCCACCACCCTCCTCTGGCTTGTAGCGACTTGCACAGTCCACTTATCAGTGTCGGCAACGATGCACACAGCTTCTGCTATGGGCTCATCTAAGGCTGGATGCTACAATATTTAATTATATTGTTAACAATCAAGGAACAACAAAACTTTAATTTCATAAAGTATATACACAATATATATATATACACACACACAAACTACTGTGATGTGTACCGTCATGTGAAATCAGGCAAACAGGCAATTGATTGGATACATACAAAAAGCCATTATTTGACTCTCTTATCTACATTACATAATTCATTTGACATTGGACATTAACATTGGATTTGTGATTTCAAGACATTGAAGAACAATTTAAAGCATGAAGATGTAAATGACATGATATTATGTGGGAAACAGTATTAAAAAAAAATTAAAAGTATCCGATTTAAATTTGTACACTTTATGCACATGGCAGATTAGGTTGTCCTTCAGAAATATAAATTTAAACAAAAAAGATTAACATGTGCAAGACAATCTAAAAGTACTTACAACCACTGCATGGTCAAGATCTGCCATTAAACACTGTTTTAGTCTTTCATCTGAGCTTGCTCCATGCAACACAAAGTCTGGCATATACTGTGGACAGTATCCACCAAACAGAGATCTTCCAAAGTTGTTAACATGAGGCTTGCTGATGGTCTCTGACCTGAAATAGGAATAAGGTTGAAAAAGATCAAGATAACCTTTAAAACAGTACTCACAATGAAACATCTAAAACATTTTTAGAATTCAGTCAATCATTTTTCTACATTAAAAATGAATTCAGATAAAGCACTTCAACTGACATTTATGCATGTTATGATGTTTTAAAATCTTCTTAAAATGAGAATTTGACTAAACCAAATTATGCCCATCTAATGGTGCGTTATCATCAAGATGAAAGTAGCATTCTCCTATCATTAAGCCAACACAAAGTACTCAACAGATACCTTGGGAGCGGGATTTCGTACTCCTCTGTGGTTTCATCTTGCTTGTCTTCACAGTGCTTGGCTCTCTGGTCCAGTGAGGCCTCCTCATCACCGCTGTCTCCTAGAGCACTGTCTGAACTCTCGTTCCTTGGAATGTCCCCTTTCACTGTGCAAGACACCTTCTTCCCAGGACCTTCAGTGTCCCCTGAAGGTACAGTTGCACATCCCCTGGATTTACAGTCCCGTGGGGCGGGACCGGCAGAGCTCCTCTCACCTGCTACCCGTTTCGCCCTGACGGCACCAGCGGTGTCCATACATGACTCACTGTTTCCTTTTGCCCCACATTCTATTTGGATATGGCCAGGAGAAACAATGGGTGCCTCAACTGTTCTACCCTCTTTGGATGATTCAAATTTGCCAAAGCAGGAAGAGGTAGCACGAGAATGAGTACTATGCTGTAAATGAGACTTGATCAAGAAAGCATCCGTCTCGTTTACAGAATTGTTTGGCTCTGGGCCACCTGCATTAAGTTTGCCATTTTTTTCTTCATTCTCCAAGCTTTCCCTGAAGGTCTGATAATTCTTAACCATTTCATTCTGCCGACTCTCCAGATCAGAATCTGGAGATTCTAAGCTCCCGATCCGAAACTTTACCCTTTGTAGAAGTGGGCTCTCGCGAGTCTCCAGTCTGAGACAAGGCACACCCTGTGAAGAGACCATGGAAGATTTCCTGTCCAGGTCAGAATTAGACTGGGATGCTGCTGGTGAAGTGCAATGAAACTGTGAGGTCTCAGATTTGGCTGAATGGTGTAAACTGCCATCTGCTGCCTTGAACACATTAAGTACAACCTCTTTCTTAATATCAACGCTATGAGATATTACCTCATGGCAAGGTTTTAGACTGTGGTCTAGAGGCAGACATGTCAGCTCTGCAGTATCGGTCCTTTCTGAGCTCAACTTAGTCTTCTCTGTGCTGCTGCTCAGCTCACCCCTTCCAGCAGTAGGAGAAGCTGCAGTATCCTGGATTCGAGAGCCACCGTTGAGCTTGCTAGGATTGTCCTTGTTGTTATCAGTGCTGTTAAGAGTGGAGTCATTCTGCACTGAGATGACAACATAATCAGACTCTTCCACCTCTCCTTTCTCCAGTGTGGTGGTGAAGAGTGTTCTAGCTTCCCCCACCTCGGGCTTTCCATTTCCACTCATAATATTCTCCTGCAGGTCAGAGCAGCGGATGAAGTAGGTGAGGATGTAGAGGACACGCTGCACAAGCTCTCTACGTTTCCCCAAAATCACTGTCCGTGCCAGTCTGACGGGAGAACCGATTGCTCCATACAGATCACCTTAAAGACAACAATGGAAGCCTTTTCATACATTGTTCCCCCCCCCCCAATATCAAATTTCTGATTGTCAAAAATGTTTATGTTTTTTGTAATTACATTTGCCGGAATACATGAAAGATTCTATGTAATGATGATTTTTATCAAAATACACGTACAAGTAAAGAAAATTGTAAAGTCATATTACTAGGAACATTAGATGCATTGGCCACAAGAGGGCATTATCACTGACAATCAAAGTTTTGCAAAGCAAGTGGTGCCACTAAGAAAGACTATGGCCATGTCCCAGCATCCACACTTGCTCATGGCCTTCAGGGGTGCGCTCACACAAGGATCTACAAAGGTTAGTGGTGTCCCAAATCCAATTTGTTTCAAAGGAGTGATCACTAGTGCCCCCAATGAGCCCTTTAAGTCAGATTTCATGTTCTAACCTATCAAAGCTGAGTGAAGTTACAATTGAGAATAAATATTTAAGTAAAATTGAACTTGACCATTTTAATAATTATAATATTTAATGTAAAAAACGAATTGGGCATCTTCTGATTGATATGTAATTTAGGTACGACGTGTTGACCTAAAACCATTATTTCATTAACTGTCTACCCCATTTCAACTGATGAATTTGTTTATCTGGGGTATAATTTACACAAGGAAAGAAAGTATTTAATAGTACATAGCTTTTAATAAACAGAGAGAGGTATTGCCAAGTTTCCTTATTTACTTTAGTTTGCTTGTTTTGAGTTGAGACTGCTCAACATGAATACGTTCCTTATACATCACTACCTTTGTGAAGAGACTGATGATATGACCTTTAATTTCATCCTATTGTAAATGGAGAATTAAAAAGATTCTCTGCGGGCATGCTCTTGGCCATTGGCAAAGAAGTGTGACTTTTGGGGCATGACAATGTCACTACTAGCATAGATATAATAAAAACCAGGTTATGCAAGTCTGTTTAGAGTAATTATTAAGCTTACCAAGTTGTGCCCAGAGAGGATTGTATGGATGAGACTTTGCCAGCATATCCACTGACTTGGAAGTGTGTTTTTCAGAGAATGCCTTGATTGGAGGATGGTCATTTGGCATAACTGTGGGGACCCAGGCCAGGTGATATGTAAGGACAGCGGTCAGCAAAGCAGACAGGAATCTTTAAAAAAAAAAATCACCCTAGATTAAGCTGAAGTTCAATTGCTTCACTTATACCTACAAAGGTCTTATTTGACTGCTAAGACCCTAAAAGTGCCTTAAAGTGCTATTCATTCTATAAAAAGCAGCTACTATAAAATATTTAAAGACCACGTTAAAGGGTGGAAAGAAAGCATGGCGCTGCAAGTTTCCACTAATTGCTAAAACCATTCACACAACATGACTGCCAATTTTATTTTCCATGTTAAGATCAAAGTGTCCTATGGTCGCTTCAAAATATTGGCAGTTCTTGACTATTTTGACAAAGCAAATGAGGAAAAAAAAAAAAACTTTACAAAAGTATTAGTACAACGGATATACAGAGCCTAAGTCCACACATCCTTTCCAAAGGAACACTGTGTGGCCTAACAGCCTGAAATCAAGACATCTCAAATCAGAATTCATTTTACCTAGTCTAAAACCTAGATAAATGAGCTGGATGAGTGTACACACCCCTTAGTGATAGAAACTGTAAATCAGCTCTGGTTTAACCACTTGCTTTTCAAATGTATACAAAGCTAAGTAGCCTCTACCTGCATTATAGTTATTCTAATGATTTCAAATAACTTCAAAGTTCCTGAAAGTCTCTTTTGCTGGGTAGAGCTCCATTTCATTAGGAAGTGGAAGGTTTATGGCACCATGAAGACCTTGCCTTCATGACTGCTAAATAGGATGACTGAACAGAGAAGCCACTAAGAAACCAGGATAGAACTTTTTTGGCCTAAATGCAAAACATAGCATTTGGCAAAAACCCTATACAGCACATCATCCACGGAACTTCATCCCTACTGTAAGGCATCATAGAGGCAGTATTCCGTTTTGGGGATGTTTCTCTGCAACAGGGACTGGGGCACTAATCAGGATCAATCAATTGAAGGGAAACTGGATGGAGCAAAATACAGATGGATACTTGAAGAAAATCAACTGCCCTCTGCAAGGAAGCCTAAATTAATTGGAAAGGAAGTGTGCCTTTCATATGGCAACTACCCTAAGCACACAATCCAAGCAACAGTGGAGTTGCCAACAAAGCTAAAAGCTTAAATGTTGCAGTTCTAGGTTTTGATTTATAATTACTAAACAATGTTTGAGCATGTGTTTTTCACTAAGAGTTAACTTGTTACAATGTGTAAATAAAAGATAAAAAAATCTGATTGAATACGTCTTGATTTCAGGCAATTTTAGGCCACAAAATGTATTCTTTCGAAAGGGTATACAGAGTTTTTTATAGACACTGTACTGTAAATTGTCAGCAGGTTTGATTATAAACTGAATCCACTAGAATTCATTTTCCAGGAGTTTAGGTATAAATTTGGGTTCAAAACCTTAAATTGAAAGATCTCGTAGGATATCTGGAAGGAATAAAATAACCACAATATTTAAATTGCTATAGCAACACATAAGGGTAAGCTGTAGTTTTCAGGTCATCCGCTACTTCATCTTTAAAATCATATAAATGTGTACAATGTGAATGATGTGTGCAGCCAGAGTTCTGTGGCATATTTCCCATATGACTCACTGGTTTTTGGAGGTCTGCTCCGTCAGGAGAGTGAGTTCTTTAAGAAAACGCTGGCACAGCTGACTCTTCTCGGCTGTCTGAGAGACCATGGTTAACCACACAGGTTCCGTGATCCTAGGGGCCATATACAGGTTCCAGATCTTTGTCCTGTTTATCAGTGGGTAAACAAAGATTGGCAGTTGGGATTGAGCAAACTTGTTTTCCTGATCAGGTCTGTTTATGGGAGGTCGTTTAGAAGCTTATGTGGCACTTGAAAGAAAACCACAGTTTGCCTTTAACATTCTTTTGTTAAAAAAAAACATTTATTTCTCATTGGAAAAAAGTGACTAGCAATGCGAGTTTTACAGAAAAGAATCAACAATTTTGATATCGTAATAAGGAAATTGCCTGCATTCTTCTTGTAAATTTAAGTACTACATTCCCGCAGTATTCATTATTTAGTCTTTGTGCCAGGGAACAGACATCTCATTTGGTTTTTAAACAGGTTTCTGTATTGGTGAAGGGTAAGGGTAATCTAAAGTGAAGCAAACTTACTTCACTTGTAACTTGTTTTGATTTAATACATAGACATTCACTACAGCCTATTAAGTCCATAAGCAAGTTCACTTGTTAATGAAACTTACTCAAGGGAATTCACTTATCAGTTTCTGTCTACAGAATTCTAAACTTAGGCATCTTCTCAGGAGCCTGTGAATTCAATGACTGCAAATGCACAGAGGTTATCAGATCTGAATTTCATAACCACATTACTGCGAAGTAGCCAATGTACTTCCAGGCTGCCAATGTTTTGTCTTGCCAAACTTTTAAACGGGATTATTCTAAATCTACAGTAAATAAACCCTAGCTTACCAAAAATACAAATCTTGTTACTAAAGCTTTGTAGTACTAAGTATCCTTTTTAACACGTTAAAAGCAAACAGGGCTTTCATGGAATATTAAGGGCTTCAAGTTATTTTTGGAGTTGCATTCCCAAGACATAGTTCACATTCATTTGGTCTTTATCATTCCAAAACGTTTATAGTTCTTCCCAGAATTACCACCTAGGTAGGCTTATCTCATATGATCTCCGATAGGTTGGAAAATCCATGTCCTGACCAGACCACAATCCCTGATATATGTCAGGGTTAGGGACCAGAAAGTAGTGCCTTCTAGCAAAATGTAAAATGGGGAATTTTCCTCCATAAGAACAATGTAAATCCCTTAAGAATTAATGGAATAGAATCGGCTTGGGATAAACAAAACGATTGAGTGCGTTTCATTTGTAGCTAAACTACTGTACAGAGCGTCCCGTTATAAATCCAGGTTACATTCCCAAATAATGCAACTCATAATGAAATGAGTTTGAAAGAGGTATTAATATCCATAAAGAATAATGTAGTTAGCTTGAGATATATCCCCGACATACAGTTCAGACATGGGTATATACATTCAATGTACCTATAATCCAGAAAAAAAAATAATAGAGATGGCATAACCAGCTCTTTTCGAATTGTGGTCTCAACCAAACTAATTTGTTGCTTCTAGGCAGATTCTTTCCCAACACTATTCATGCATTTAAAGTTAGCGATCACACCTTCATCCAGTGACTAGATCAGTAATGTACTACGTTGTGGTAAGAACTCAACTTTAATGTTGGGGCATAATGGTTCTTAACATAAGTGAAAATGTACTAGCAATATCTAAAAGGAGAATTTTTAATATTAGATTTTGTCCTTCACAATATTTTTCCATTTCTGGAACAAAATAATCCACAAACCACCTATGTTGCTGGCTTTTGGCGACTTGAAAAAGGAGATAAGTGAGAAGATTATTTACATCAAGGTCTTCAATTCATCAACAACGTATAGCAGGGAGACATAATGGAAACTGCCTGTACCTCAGCTACTACAAGTGCTGTTGGAGGACCAATTGGTGGTGCCGTTTCCTCTTGGACACAGTTTTCAAGCCAGTACTAGGACAAGGGACACTGCAGCAGCTGAGGTCCTGACTACTTAGTCATTGAAAATCCTAAGGCATTATTAAGAACAGGGCTCTTAGCCCCAGCGAAAGGGCTGTTAGCCAGGAACTTAGGCTCCCTAATAGGGTTGTTAGCCCTATTCTGTGCGTTTACACAATTTGGCCTCCATAAATTTCCCTTAATTTAATCAGTGAAAACGTCTCACTTGTTGCACAGTTTCCGTGTTGTGAAGGATAAATGCTGTGAGGGTAACTGCTGCACTTAAAAGGTGGATGAAGTAAGTCTCCTCTCCTTTTAAAATTAAGTGTTAAATGCTCTGGAATTAAAAGTGGTATATACAGTAGGGTCTCTCAACATCTGTGGATTAACATTTGCCAATTTGCTTATTCTCTATTTGGTCTGGTTGATAGGATCATGGATGAAAGAAGAGCAGAGAGGCATAACAACTCCAGCTTGGTTTAAACTGCAATTTCAAATGAGTGGCCAACAGACTAGGGTCATGAGAGGAATGTAGCTAGAGCCTTTCCCTGCCCCCTGCCCAAGTACCCACTACTCAACGTCTGCATCCCAGCTTGGTCTTGTTTTTATATTGTTACTAACTCCTCTGATATTTCTTTTGATCAGGGCATGGTTCACATGAACAGCTTTTTCTTGAGAAGAGCAGACTATGTCAGTAACCAACCTTTGTGTGCCTTTTTTATAGGGCAGGGAACCTCCAACTCACACCTTCAATCTCATCTCATTGATTGGAACACCTGACTCCAATTACCTTTTGGAGAAGTCATTAGCCTAGAGGTTCACATACTTTTTCCAACCAGGACTGAATATTTAAACAATGTGTTCAGTACAATAGTTTGTGCATTATTATTTTACGCAGATTGTGTTTGTCTATTATTGTGACTTAGTTGAAGATCAGACCACATTTTTATGAGTAATTAATGCAGAAATCCAGGTAATTCCAAAGAGTTCACAAACTTTTTCTTGCAACTATACATCATACATATGGTTGTCTTTTAACGATAAATGTTACTGTATACATATAGATACATATACTGTAGGATGTCCAATCCTAGTACATTATGGAAGGGTATAAGGGTGGACTTGGTTATATGCAAATTTAAGTTTTCACCACAGCTCTCTACACAGAACACTTATGTATGTCTAGACTGTACTGCAAATACAAGGAGTTTTAAGTTATTTAAACTTGTAAATTGCAACAGAACAATTTTCAGGTTAACAGTTGGCTAAAAGTAAAAAAACTTAGCTGGTGGGGTAGTGTGCACCTTTGTAAAGAACTAATAAAGCACATGTACTTATTTTAAGATTTACAGGGCAACGCAAATACAGCATTTTTGAATAGCATAACTGAAAGGAGACAACCCCTTGTCACTCACCTGAATTCCCCAAGCGCATCCATAACACGACATAAGTATATTTGTACCCGTTGGCTGGATTCTGCAATCTTCCTACATGAAATCATAGCCTAAAATAGGACAGGTTTGAAATCAATTGTCTGATGCAAATAAAAAAAAACAACTCTTTAACGGTTACATTTTGAAAAGCCAGCAAAATGGGGTACTGGAAATTTAAAAATATTTTTTTTAACACCAACCTTGACCATGTTATATCATGTTATTCATTTAAAACTTAATTTAACCGCTCTTCCAGGGGTTAGTCATAAGACATCCATTTACTGTTGCAGCTCAGAAATAAGACAGGAAGTGCAAATTTCTGAAGAGCTTCAGTACATCGATCATAATTATCCAAACATACATGAGCAAGATCACATTTTTGATGGAGATATAGCTGTTACAAAAATGTGCCAAAATTCCTTAAACCATCTAAGGCTGGTCTTAAATTAAGCACATCCAAATTAATTTAAAAATATGTACAGGCTTAAGAGAAGCTTCTATTACAGAAGCACTATGGAATTGGAGCTTAACGTTTGCTTATATTCTTTGCTTACCCCTAGAGCAGAAGATGAGAGATCTTATATGCCACACATTCACTTTAATATTTTACTCAATTAGACTGAGATATTCAAATCTAGCAGCACAGATTAGTGCTTTTGTAGTACGTCAATTTAAAAATGCCTATATTTAAGCATTTTGTATTCAAATGTGTTGAGATGAAAATGTAGGGTTTTCAATGTAAAAATGTAGAACAGTACATTTGGCATCTTCCACAATAGCTATATATATATCTTCATTACAGAACCTAATGACTGTGAATAATGAAACCAACAGATGGTAAAATAAAAATTCTTTAAAATTCTTTTCACACACCAAAAAGCTTCCACAATTGCCAACTCCTCATGGAAAATGCTATTAAAACAAACCACACACAGAACGCACATCTTTTGACTTGAGTTCTAGTTGACTGTCATAGTTGACTGATTCATTTAGCACATTTGTTTAAAATGACTTTTGCTACTGTTCAACTAGCTGTACTTCAGTCTCAGACTTTTAAATGCCTACCTTCTCAATGGCAGTCTTCAATTTGTTCATGTGGGATTCGAAGAGTGGGAAATGTGAAAAAAAGAAATCCTGGAAACTCCTGTTTTCACTGTCCTTCTCAGGAAGAGAGAAAATAATACTGACAGCAATTTTCTTTCTTCTGATCATTGCTGGATTGGATCCACAGGTTTCATCTGACAGACTGAAGGTCTCTTCATTGCACCTGCAGAGCAAAAGTGGTCACTTTTACCTCACAGGAGGCAGAAGGCCTGTCCTGACTTTACAGCACAATTTTAAATGGTTTGTGACACCTCCCAAATATTACACTACGATACTACACCTCTCCTATATACTACTACTCTTCCTAAATCCCATCAATACCTGTGAAACAGGAGTATGCCTTTTGAGGGTTTAACAGGACAAGAACTACACTATTACAAAACACAGTCCTAAGAAGTACAAGTGACAAACTGCAAATGCAAGCCTGATTTTCAGCATTCAGAACTACAAGATAAGATCACTTTATTAGCCCTATACAATTTCTTGCATTAGGAATGCATCTTTACGCATGCCCCAGCTTGCTCTCCATGAGACACACAGATAGTGAGAGAGAAGCCTGTGGTCAGATCACAGGGTCAGCCATTGTACAGCACCCCTTGAGCAGTTAGGGTTAAGGGCCTTGCTCAGGAGCCCAACGGAGTAGGATTCCTCTGCTGGCCGTGGGATTTGAACCAGCAACCTTCCGGCCACAGGCGCAGATCCTTAGCCACAGAGCCACCGCTCTGCCCTGTATCTGGATAGCATAATTCCATACAATCGAGATTTAGAGTACAGTTCAACTCCATCAAATGTGAGTTACCACTGAATCTTTAAGTGGTTATTTTTTTTAATAAAACATATTTCATGTTTAAAGACTCATGTTTTAATGACTTACTCTCCTGGTCAGAAGAAGCCCTGGTCTATTTTGGAACTGAAACTGTACTCACCACCTGGGCACGGGGCCATTCTCCAGGCTGGTGGTCTGACTGCGCAGCCAGCGGCGCTGGTAGCTGCTGGCACAGCTGCTGGAGAAGGAGTTGCTAGGAGATGGAAGAGGGGTTACAAGCAGGCTGCTCAGGGAAGCTGTGGTACAGGAGACATTAAAATAGAATGTAAATGATTGTTTAAAAGTGGCTAAATCTACCATCAGCTCAGTCATGTAAGCAACAGAACTTTCCTTTTCTTCCTAAGAGAAGACTGGCAGTTGTATGTTCTTCTGTTTTAGGGTAAACGGAAAGTGTTTACAGAAGAATACAATTTAGCTCCACTTGATCTGAGCAAGGCTGATAATACATGAATAAAAGATATACAACACAACATATAAAAAAACTCAACATTAGGATTTTACTTTGTGAAAGTAAAATATGATACTTTGTGTCATCCCTCAAAATCTTATGATATAACAGCGTACAAACTTCCATAACTGCACAGAACATCCTACATTGAAAACTGTAATCACCTGATCGAGCAATGCCACTGTCTCTGTCTTCATTGTGTCCTCTACTGGGCATGTCCACAGGAGTGCTGTGAGCTGTGATAGAGTTCAGGTGAAATTCAAGGTACTGATCTTGGATGTTTAACAAATACAGACACAGGATTTCAAAGCCAGACTTTGGATTTTTAAGAAATTCCTTAAGAAGGTTAAAATTCTAGACAAAAGTGAAATAAAGAAAAAAACAAATGCACACATTAATAACTGATTAAGAAACATTTTAATACAGCACATCTGTATCATTAAAAAAAACATTCAGTCTTATTCTTGATGTCAAATATTCTGAAATAATGACTCCATTATGTCAATGAATGCAATTGATAATATACTATTATCGTCTTTTTCTTCTCAGAGTTTCCATATGGGTCAACTTCTTGGGGCTTAGACATTTTGGTTTATTGAATCACAGTGTGCTAAGAAGTAGTAAAGTAACTTTCATCTTGTCTTGAGTCAAGTGGGCTGTGCATCTAGTTATATAGCTCACAGCTTTAAGGTAACAAAAAATTATAACAAGGGTATATATAAAATGTAATGATCTTAATATGCAAGTATGGTATATGCAGAGTTGTTAAGTGCCTCGGGGCAACCTTGTTGTGAAAGGGGCTATATAAAAATAAATTGAATTGAGTATAGAATGGTATGTGTAACAGTGTAAAATATGCTTAAACATCCATTTCAAGTTCCGATAGCTGAATTTGAGATCCTGTATCTGCATTAGACAATGAAACCTTTACACAAACTCTGTTCAACTATTTAAGCTCTGAAACAAGTATTAATATGGTTGCAAATATAAGAATTTGTGCCCTGCACCTAAAACAAATTCAGTTGTATATTAAACTGTGCAATAAACAGTCCTTTATGATAAACCTGTATTTAATGAGATCAGTGAAGAACATCCTCTCACTTACAATGACAACTTGGGATTACCCATTTATATAGCATTTAACAATAAGCAACGTACAGTACAACAGCCAAACTCACAACATCTTAGTTACAAGACCAGAGGCATAAATGCTACCCCACTCTACTGCCAAAATGTACTTTTAAACTTTAAACACTTCAAGTGGTATTTAAGATGTCTCTGTAAATTAACTTAAGATGCAGGCAGGGTGCAAAAACTATATTTGCAAACATATGTTCACTTATAATGTATTACACATTACTACTAGATTTCATTACATACTGTACAAACAAAGAAAAAAGGACCTGAAATATGAAATTTAAATCCACAAAACAGCAGACCTTTAAAGATTTTAACGATCACAGTGAAATACTAAACAACCCAACTTTCACACACAATACACCACAATCAAATAATGTGCTTGATTCATTGTTAAGCTTGCAGCCCATCAACCATGCATCTGTCAAAGTGAAAATGCAACCACGTACTGCAATTGGTGAATTAAAAATAAAATCACATACACAGAGGTCCCACTCTTGTCTCTTATCTAGTGTTCTATAACAGAAGGGATAATGAGAGGAAACAATGTAATAGTTTTAGTTATTCATACATAAGAAAATAAGTGGAAATCCACTTATAGCCAAGACCCCTTTCCTTTGGAAGATGACATGAAAAAGAAACTAATGGTAAAAATGTGAAAAATTACAAAACTCTCAACTTCAACTTTGAGACTGATTTATAAAAAGCATGCTGCATTATACTGTTATGTTGCAGGTTTATTGTCTTTTATCAGTTTTTCCACATAAATTGCGTGATGTTTCTCTCATCTCCTCCACAACATTGGTATCAGTAAGAAGTGAAACATTACTGCTTTTGATATTACTTTATAAAATTATAAATATATTATTGAATCTTAATTTGTTTGCAAAGGGTCAAGGTAACATATCATTCCACACTATTTTTCTCTAAAATATCAAGACACGGGAGCTTAAGGAATGAATGAGTCCACAGTGAAAGAAAGAGGAAAGAAAGTGAGAAGGGGAAAAGCCATATCTGAAGAGCACAACAGCAACACTATAGCAAACAAATCAGAGGGCATACATGCAGAGCAATACATGCTCCTAATTCCCTAAACCTCAAAAAGGGTTTTCCCTTTTCTTCTGCCAGACAATTGCTAATGCTTTGCAATTGTTCCTTCAAAACTTTAGTTGTTTTTTTTTTTACAAAGATTATATTGCCAAACATTTCACAAGAAGTTACAAAATGCAAAAACTCTGGCACACCCCAAAAATTATATTAAAAATGTAGTTACGATAGCCTAATATTTGTACTTAATCTAGTAACAATAACTACAGCAGTAAAGACAGCACTTGAGCTCAGGTCTTTTATTATAGCTTGGCTCTAATTACATTACACCTAACAAACATATATACATATGATTTGGTATTTACTGTACATTAAATGTATATTGCTCTGCTGCCTGCAGTCCTCTGATTCTATAGGTGGCTAAAGACATTCATGCTATCAATCGAGAGGCTGTACATGTTGTGTGGGTCACACTGGGCTCAGCATTCCACACAAACCTGCAAAGAAAGAGGCGCTCCGAATGAGACGGAACGGAGCTGCATCAGGGGTGCTGGACAACAGCCGGCTGCTGTAAAGCTGCAAAAGTCCTGAAAGAGGCACAGCGCAGTGACCATCAAGAACATACAACCAGGCCCAGGAATGATTTAGAAAAAAATAGGAAAAAGTTGCAAGAATTTCTTTTTACCTATGCTGCATCCATTTCTGTAGCCTCCAAAACTCCTTTGATTTGGACATGACTTCCCTACCATTGATTCCTGGTGGATGTACTCAAAGCTGTCTTGCAACCTAAAGGACCAAGGATTCATTAATTCAAGCACTTCACTATATCTCAAATTATTCTACAACAGCATCATGACACGGACACAGAGACAGACTTAAGAATTTATATATGATCAGACATGCCGCAATGCAAAGTAGTAAATGACACACTGCAAAGGTGTAAGAAAGTGCATAATTGTGGCAGACATGCCAAAAAAATACAACTTTAAAGCAGTGTTAAAAAATTTAAAAATGAATATAAACAATGTATTGTTAAACTACTGTGAAAGGAAAACATCTCTCTCACAAAAGAAACAGCTTATGAATCATTTCCCCCCACCCCCCCATAGTTAAATTAAAATCTGAACTACTGTGATGGAACAAATTTGTTAACAAAAGTATCTCAGGATCTGAACATAAAAAAAAGTCCTTGGAACAGTACCAGATTGGGCTTAGAAGGCAACACAAAAACTTCATACTAACTATTCAACAGCATACAAATTCAACTCTTACATGTTCGTGCTTCCAGCAGAACTGCCAACTCGAGCTGAAAACACTTTGCTTATCATCAGCTGTGGGGGAGAACTTAAAAAGAAAAACAAATGTAAGAAAGGAAAAAAAAGTTAACACATAACATTTGAATATAAAGGTAGAGCCTACTTACCGTATGTAATGGATTTTTAAAGTAGAACCTTTGTAACTCATAGCAACTGACCCAAACATCATTTCACCAAGCATGTTGACATCGGAAGCAGCTCTTGTATACTACAACATAAATAAGACATGAACAACAATGATAAAGATTTATAAATTCAGTCAGTCACTTTTTTTCTCCAGAATCAGAATTGAAGATTTAAGATCTTCTTAACATTTCATGAATAAGATTGGGAGATGCAGATTTATGCATAATTTGTATTCAAAGGCACCTTTCTGAAAGACATCTAAAATTACCTTCCAAGACATATACTGGTTCCATCAGCACTTTCATCCGGTTCACTATACCCACAAGGCATTAACGCGAGTCCATCTTAAATATCTAACATGGCCTATCTAAAATATGTGCCATTAATAAAACTGCTGCTTAAAATCTGCAACAACATCCAAATCTGGAAACAACATAAGAAAGGTGAGGAAAGAAGGCCATTTGACCCATCTTGCCCGTTAACTTAATAAAAGCTAATGGATCCGAGGGTCTCATTCAGCTGTTTTGTGAAAAAATAGGGACCTGTTTTGACAACATGGCTGGGTAGCATGTTCCATATTCTCAGAAACCGTTGTGTAAAGAGTGCTTTCTCTTCTTCGTTTTAAATGCAATTCCTTTTCACTTGTCTCTAAAGAATTTAATTGGGTTGACTGTCAGTGCCTTTGGTGTGCATATTGAGGCAGTGTGAACAAATAAGCTTACGTAATTATAGGATTACATAAAATACAGCTTACATAACTCTTTTGCAGATCAACTTTCAATTGTCTTTGTGGATGATACAGTGCAAAGAATTTCAACATCCAGACACAACCAGGAGTCATGATAGGTAGGTCATAAGCATTAGCAATTGTAAGCTCCACTTTCGTTTTCAACTGTTAATATAGTTTTGATTTAGCAAGAAGAAGCGCAACCTGGTAGGCTGTATGTAGCAAATTATGTTACATTAAATAGGAATCTTCAAAAACCATGTAATAAAAAAGCCAATCCATAACAGAGCAAGGCAGAGATCTGGTATTATACATTTATATTTATTAATAGCATTTTGTCCTCTAAACCCATTTGAACTATACATTTTAAACAGCCATACAGAACCTAATAAAAGCAGGCAATCCAGCTCTTACCTGGTATCTAGGCAATGCTTCTTTTTCACCTTGCATTCCAAGTGTCGAAGTTTTCCGAGAGTTGATCGTACAGGCTCCACTTCTGCTAGTTTGGCAGCACTTGGAATATGGTTTTGCGTGAATATCATCTCCATTTTTCTAAAAAAGAACAAAAATCTTTGAATAAAGGTCACTCTGCATAGTCTTTTTTCATGTTTTTTCTAGGCAATATCAGCACTATAGTTTCTTAAATAAGTTATTTAATTTATAACTATTTGGTTTTGACTGCAAGGTACAAGCAACATGAAATAATTCTTAATTTAGTTAATAAAATGGACGTCATCTAGGAAAAAAAAAAATCTAAATCTAATAAATATCCAAGTAAATATCCCGAAGACCTAAATCAATGGTTCACCTGCTTCTACTACTTTTTTTCTAAAACTGAAATCTCAATTATCAGTGCAACTTCGTGACTGTAATTGATGTACATGCTGGCAAAGACTTTTTCTGCACTTAGTCCATGGGTTCATAAATTATCTAGTTAAAGTGCATTACTTCAAACACCTTCAACACACAGAACTTTGTACAGTCTGTTCAGCTTGCTAATTTGCAACTCAATTTCTAACTAAATAGCTCTTAAGTGGTTAACTGCAAGTGAACAGACAAGGAGGAATAACACTTATTTGTAGCTCTGATAGCTACTATGGTGAGTCAGTATTTTTCCTTCTGCTTACGTCCAGAAGGTTAAATTTCACCTATCATACCTAAATGTGGGTGAGTCCTGAACCTCACTAACATGGAATTCAACCCAGTTATACATCTCATTTACTTTAAGAGATGAAAGCAAATTAAAAAGTTAAAAAGGCTTTAAATAGAAAATGTAAATACATTAGCCTGTGAATGACAACTCGACAAAAGCAAAAACCAGAAGAGAAGCGTTTTGAAAGACCAGGACTGAGAAGCACTGTACTAGGATGTTTCTGGAAACCTAAACAAGCCGAATCAATTACGGTCATAATTATCAAGGGTAATTAAAAAAAAAACAGCAGGTACAGGGGTACTCTAAGTCCAGGATTGACAACTGCTGACCTAACAGGACAGTTCTGTATACAACGTCTCTTGGACAAGCAGTATTTTAAGGGCTTCCCCACCCCAGGTTATCTGTATATACTGTAGCTAAATACAGAAGAAGTCTAAATGCATTGATGTTTGATGGTTATTAAAAATATTCACCAGAAATATATTATATATAGACAACTCTATACACTTCTGACAAACACAAGGAAAAAACAATGTTTGTAAAAAATAAGAATAATGAAGAAATACATCAGAAATGTTCAAACCCTATTAAGTGTTTCAACTGCACTAAAACCCGTGTAGTGCAACAAAATACCTCTCTCTGTTTATTTCAAAGGTCTACCCGTCTCACCTAACACTGGTTTCTTAGCAATGTGTTTATACCAATGTTATCTAAAAATGTTGGCTGTGACTATCTTAAGTGCATAATAAATGTCATAACAATTACAGTCATGTGCTTTTGTCAAGTTATTGACCAGAAGGCAGTCGCCATAAAGTACGTGAACCGTTCCAGCAAACCAAGTTATTGACCTCATTGTTTCTATGTCAGCCAGTAGGTGAAACGGGCATCTGGGGAAAATAAAAACACTCCATTGCTTATTTAAACAGACCATTAAAATATAAAGTTCAACATTTTTCACAGAGCGTAAAATTCTGAGCAAAGATTATGCTTCTCAAAAACACAACAGGAAACTACAATAAAGGATATTCTCCGACATCCCAGTTTCACAGATGTGCACAGTCCTGACAAGGTCATGCTGGATTCAAAGCAGTAATCCCAAAGCAAAGGATTCAAATTGCATTCCAAGTATAGTTCACGTCCATGGAAAAACAACTGAAATTGAGGGAGCCATGCAAACTGGTGGACACATCTGTTGCAATAGTTCTGTCAATGAGTGCAAGACCTTCTGCTCAGTTACTGGATGGCTCATAGAGAGCCTATTGTAGATCTCCAGCTTACAATGTACACCACCTGTACTTTAAGGATCCAGTTTATGCTGAATATGCCTATAATTATGGCATACAAAAAAACAGGTCACTACTTCAGATAATTGTGGGGTTTTGATGAATCTATCATACTGTATATTAAGCATTTCATATTAACACTGAGAAGTTAAGATGTAGTTCCTAGCTCTCAAAAATACAATTAAGAGTAATAGGTTAATCTTTTTAGTAAACCTACTCTAGCAAAATGTGCATGTTTTTGTACACATCTAACAGAAAGAAGTATGCAATGCAAAAATTCTGTAATCCACAAAACGCATCAATGAACGCTGCAAGCCCCTCATCTGTGGTACCTACAACACGGTACATATAGGTACAGGACAAAAACAATGGAAACACCTTGGTAATGTAATGATAATGTTGCTTATTAGACTATACAATTTCTTGCATTAGGAATTAGTCTTTTCGCATACCCCAGCTTGCTCTCCATGAGACACAGACAGGGAGAGAAGCTGGGGTAAATGGGGGCACTAAGTGTATTGAAAAGAAAAGGGATTCCACACATGTTAATGAAGCAAATTATGTCCTAAAATACTAAGGTTGGCATTTTAAAATGTTGTACAGGCCCAGATGCCTATAATTATGTGTAGCATGCCTATAAGAGAAGACTTGTGAGAGTTAAAAAGAAGGGGTGAATTTGGCAATAGATTCAGCAACAGTGCCAATCTAAAGAACTGTACAGTTTTCAATCAGCAAAGGGTTCTTGTTGCTATGATGTTGTGGGGGCAAACTTCCCTGACATGGTTTTCCTTAGAATTTAAATTGCAAATTAATGGTACTAATCCTCTTCAGTTTTACAGCATTTCTTTTCTGCAAGGAGGGAGGGAGGTTTTCCAGGGTAACAATACCCCATCCACAGAGCATGTATAGTCATGCCATGAGCATACAGATATTATCCATACAGTGCCTTGCAAAAGTGCTCACCCTTCTTATGGTGTCCCATTTTGTGAAAATATAAAATAATGTGAACATTTGCATTGATTCAACTTCATATTTTATTCAAAACCTGAAAGTTCAAACTGAAGTCCTCTATGGGTAAGATATAGTGATATTTTCCTTAACTTAAGGAAAGAGAAATATTAAAAATATTAGGATTGATATTTTGATTTGGTACACACATAGATAAGAGAATTCAGTCAGTGAGTTCAATACTTGGTTAAAGCATCTTTGACAGCATTTACAGCTGCAAGACTTTTTGCGTAAATCTCCAACTCTGCACACCAGCTTGATGCACTTTGCCCATTCTTGGCAAATTTGCTCAGGCTCACTCAAGTTGCTTGGACATTGCTTATTGACCGCTAGTTTCATATGGGGATTCTAAGTTTGAAATTTGACAGCACCACTCAATGACGTTCACTTTTTTATTCTTAAGTCAATCTTGTGTACCCCTTACCTTGTGCATTAGATCACTGCTCTGTTGACTGTATGGATGGTATTGAATGAATGATTCACTACTCATCTAATTATTCCAGTTCTGTCTTGTTTTAACCACAAAATCAAAGTCACGTTTGCAGTAACACTTACGTACTCAGTGGAAAACACCACGTGATTTGAGATTTTTTTTTAGTTCCACACAAGCCTCCTTTGAGGAATGACTGTGATATTTTTCACCTATGAACATTTTTATCCCATCTCAGACATTGGTCATTTTCTTCTCAGTCACCAGATATGAATCCAAACGAAAATTTATAGGATATTCACAATACATTTTTCACCTCCATCAACCAGGTGCTAGTTATTCGACTCTTCTTAAAAGAATGGCTCTGCATCCCTCCTTCAGAATTCCAGGAGCTGTTAGATTCTATGCTATGATGAATAAGGCAATACTGATCTCACATGATGGCTCAAAGTCATCTAATTGACTTTACACAGGGGCTTACATTTTTTGTCAACTACCAGTGGGTTAAAGCGATGCCTAGACAACTCAAACACAGTGGTTGTTAATGTTCAGACCTATTATTCAAGTCAGCAGCTGATCAGTCAGACCTGTCATGAGATCCTAACCAGCCTGGATTATAAAGCATGTGATATTCTACAATTCAATGGGATAGACAGCTTTACATGACTACTTCATTAAACTGTTTTTTTATCACAACACAAATACTTTTGCCACTTAATACGGCATTATGAATAACACCATTTAGAGTCACAAGCTTTTGATTAAACCACAGTTCACAGGACAAGCACGGAGACAAACCACAGTTTAACAATTTTAGGTGTGTCAATATATATACACATTAATCTGTTTGTATATACGTGTAAAATAATTAAATTGTAAAATATTAAGAGTTTTATTAACAGAAGTGACAAAAAACATCCAAAGTTATATTCAAGGAGAGTTCTCAGTTGACAGAAGAAAAAACATGCATCAAACAAAGTTCACAGTATGTTTCATAAAAATAAGGAAGCAATTCAGATCCTTTATAAACACAAGGCATCAGTACACAATACTGAACAAAATATGCATGCAATAAGAATAATTTTCAATCCTACTGCCATTTCACAATTTCAAATATCTGCTTACTGTACTGCTGAAGATTCAAACACTTACATTTCATTTGCATAATGTCAATTTTATCAGATTATTTGAAGAAATCTTGCAAGAGAAAAATTACTTATGCTAGTACCAAGTAGCTCTCTTATATTATTTAATTAATACAAAAAAGAAGCATTTGTGTATTTTTAGTTTATAATAAGAAAATTACTTAATCAAACTTTTTAAAGTGTACTTAACACAAATTTAGGAACCACCCAATTATGATCCACCAGGAGAACAAAACAGGTGAGATTATGGAAAACCAAATAAGAAATGTATTCCCTTATCATCCCAGTGTCATAAAATTTAAAAGATGCCACAAAGCAGTTGACATTCCTGCATTTTTTCTAAAAAATACACGACTCACTTTCTAAACAGGTATCAAATGTGAGAAAGTAGTCAGTTACCTGAGCTGATGCATCAATCTTGTGGATTGCTTTTGAGTCAAACAGCACCTGCCTGCCCCTTCGCTCGCAGTCCTGAAAAACTATCAGCCGAATCTGGTTCAGGTCCAGTTCAGAAGACACCCAACTGTGTGGAAAAAGTACACAACCATTTCAAATTTAAACCTAACAAGAACATATAAAAAATTACAGTACTTAATTGAAGTAGTTGAATCAGAAAACAATGAAAAGCTATTTGAAATCTAAATACATTAAAAGTAAAAGCAGTAGTGCTGAGAAGACCAATGGCTACAAACTCCTTTATAAAACAGTAGTGTGCTGGATTATCTGGGTTTAGAGACCAAATTATGTAGGCTAAAGCATAGAATATGAACAAGTTACAGAGTACAATTTCTCATTGAATAAACAGAAAAACAGTGAAATGAAACCATGTGAATTTGTACAAAAATGAACACAAGTTGAATACTAATATCATAGGATACCTTAGAATTTATAACATAACCACCAAGCAACTGTTCTGTCACTCGTGCAAAGGAAAAATATGGTATGCTCTGAAACAGAAGACCCAAGAAAATGGTCTTTTGTATCTTTGAATCATTCCTAAACAAATCTCAGAAACGCCATTTCAGATAATGCATTTACAGACTGCACCCACTATGAGGAGATGTTTTAAAACGAATTTTTACATGATGTTCACCTGTGTATTTGACCACGTTTTGCTGGACTTTATTTTTTGTACAGTACCTGTACTCCATCCTGTTGCAGAAGTCCCTCCCCTCACTGAGTAAATTTCCCGGCAACCTGCCCTTGATTTCTGTGCTGCAGCTATTATTATCCTAGTTTGGAGTCCATCCTAAGGCACAAGACTGTCAGATGACCTGGCGGAGCCAGCTACAGCTGATCTCACTACACCTCTGCGCTGAACTGTGTGGCGCAGCATGTAGAAGGCAGATCTACAGTACTACATCTATGGTATCGTGCAAGAGGCAGTTCAACCTCACTGCAAGCAAGGCTGGCACGGATGTCAAGTACACTGCTATTCCAGTGAGGCGGACATGCCACTTGCCGTGCATTTCTTCCCAGTCCAGTACAGTGCGAAAAGGCAGGCTTTGAAATGCAACAGATCCCTTAGTAGGAGCAATTTCTTGATCCAGCTGAAGGCTTTCACCAGAAAGAAAACTAATATGCCTGAGAAAACGCATGTCTTCTTCACATACCATCTGTCCTCTGGTATAAATGCAGCCTATCTGAGACACTTCTACCCAGCTGCATGTTACTAGTAACAAGAAACAATGCCACTGGGAACACAGCGATGGCTTTCTGAAATCCTTACAACCCTCCCTTTATATTCCTGACATCAAGAGTCTGCTAGCTGGCAAGCTGCCTCTGCCCGTGCCCATGAGCTGGTAGTACATGCCTCCAGGGAATCAAAGGGGCTGCTCATTGTGAGGGCCATCAGCTCATCCCAAAACCACTGAACCACTTTCTCACAAATGTTTCTCCACAAACAATGCATCGGGGGGGATTCAAACCATATAGAAACGGTAATTATACTTGGACCCGAGGTGTCAGAAACTGAAATGTCCCTCATTTTATGAATGCTTGACCGTTAAATTAAACGGTGTTTAATCAAAATGAAAATAATCAACTGAACACAAGAAATAAATGTATACATTTTATAATTAGTCAAACACTTCTAACTGATTTACCACAGTATATTACAATGGGAATTTGTGACCAGACAAGTTCCAAAACCAACAAACATGAAACAAGTGTAAGAAGTGACCAAAAACCCAATGACAAAGTAGGTTTCTGTCTATAGGCATCCCTACAATGTTAATTTCATGACTGCAGCTGGTGTATCGACCTAGAAAGCAAATCTATGAACACTTGCAAAGGGTGATGCTTTATGGTTTTTCTTAACTGAGCACATATATAAAGAAGAAGTCATACAATTTCATCTGACAGATACGTTTTGATTCTGGTTGCACAAAGGCATGTAGAACAGTTAATACCAACAATAGTAGCTGACTTGTTCTTGTCGATGGTAATCTCAGCACACAAGATTATACAGAACACATTTTGAGACTTGTGTAAACCCCGCTGTTAGAACACCACCACAATCATTTTAATGACTAAAAAATTAAGATTTTTATCTTTCAACAATAATACTCATTTTCAATCCACAGACTCAAGGTTACTATGTCTGTTATAGCAAATGTTCACTTATGGGATAAGCTCAGCAGATTCAAATTCTTTGATACAATACCAAGTATGACATACTGTAGTACAGTGATGCAATGTCTCACTTGCTGGTCTTCCTGCAGGCTCATCCTGACATGAGAAGATTCCAACAGGGCAACATGCTCCTCATTTAACTCTGGTTTTCTCGCAAAATGGCAATGCGACAGTTTTGTCAGTTTGAGCACGATTTAACATGTTCTGGGCTGAGCTGGGACCCAGGCCCAGAAACAGACTCTGCAACATGGTAGAAAGGAAGTGTCACATGTACAACTTGTACTGCCTCCAACAGTTGCAATTGAAGTTATTCTTTAGATTAACTGGAAAATTAACACCTTATGTAAAGTAAACTTCTTGTAAAATGGCAAAATGAAATCTGAATGGTGCATGTAAACAAATGTTACACGAGAGCTATGGAAACATTTCAGTTGTCAATCTTCTCCCTTACTTGCCTCAAGATTTTACAATGACTGAGGGACCAAGTTCTCTGCCACATTCCAGTACCATCAATAGTGAAATGAAAAATTATCGATTGACTTCAGCATTTGGAAAACAATTCTAGCAATGTGACAAACGTGTTATCATTAAATATATGGGTATCTAAGATTAATATTGTAAAAATTATGCTATTGTTTAGCAGTTTACACTGTTTAAAAAAAACTATAAACGTGGTCAAAATAAGCAATAGCTCCACCAGATAATGTCACTTTGTATGAAATGCTATTAATGTAATTGGAGTTAAAAGAAAATAAGCAACATGATAAGGTTTTAGAAGTGGTCATGTGCTTCCAAATAGATTCAGGTATCATGGGAAATATAACCTAGTTTCTCTATATACCAGAGCTATCAGAAAAGTGGGATTATGAAAATAAATAAATTGTCATCTACATTAATAGGTAAAATTACTAGATTTTTTTCCATGGGAGTACAGGTATGAAAGGAAATCACATGCTGGGGAGAAAGGATAGAAACATTTTTCCTAAATCCTATATTCTTAATCTGTTTGGGTGTGCTACCTTCCAATAAAACAAATTGGAATCTCACTAAATTCCTCTTTGTATAAACAGGTCTCCTGGTTGTCACTGTAAATTTAACTTTTTCTAAACTAGTGACTCACCTTCTCTTACCTACCATAGTTAATATATTTATAATATATTATACTTATAAATAAGAAGTAGTGACTTACTACTTAACTTATATATAAGTCAAATAGTAAGTCACTACTTCTGATTTATAAGCAGATAACAGAGGTTCAAAATAAGTTTTTTTAATGTCTAACTACCCATGCTAGACAGTACTCTGATGTACTGAATTAGGTGTTCTTTGTGTTAAATATATTGTAAACCATGTTTTTATCTCTTGTGCAATACTATATCAGGTTTATAGTATTTCAACATGAGAAATCATACTTTTCATTTCTGCATTGAGGAATACTGCTTCAGTGTGCTGTACATAGAAGTTTTGACTGATGTGCTGCTGACACGTGCATCATTGCACATGTGACTATGACCTGGGTCACTGCTCATGTGACAGTTTTTCTTCCCAATTCCTCCTAATTTCAGTCTCTGTGATTCATGCCCTTATGCTGCCTTGTTGGGAGTGAGGAGTCAATGGGACAGATTATTTGCTCTTCACTTCCCTGATATGAACATAAAAAAAAAGACATCAAGGCAACTAGATCCATTTTGTTCTACTTCTGCAAATTCGAACAATTAAAAAAAGTGAGACACTCAATCCGGTTACTAAGTACCATGCAGTATCAGCAGTTTATTATTGGAGGTGTACAAAAGAAGTACCAAGTACTGGAAAATTTCAATTGTAACTTCAATATTTTATCAGTTTCAATACATTATAGGTACAAAAGTTGCTGACTTATGAATAGCAATAAGATAACGCCCCACTAAAGAAAAAGCAAAAGTTAAAATTTTTAGTCCTTTCTTAAGTTAACCTGCATTCTTTTTATATAGTCTCTTACTTTGAGTTACTAAAGTTACTTAAATTTATGATGCAATCATCTCTACAAACATCTAACAGTTAAACTTTTCTAGTAAAATATAATCTACCTGGTTGATTGTAAACAAGCAAAGAATATATTCTAATTAGTAAACGATTATTAGCATTTTAAAAAAAATCACAATCGCCCATGTCATGTAAATTCCAGATATTTTCCTAGATAACTGTAGAAATGTTTGCAGAATTGTAAAGAATTATACCTGATGTCATAAAATCCCACCAGTGGCACTGCAGTAGAAAATCTTTTCCTTTTCCCCCTTATCTTCATGGTAACATTAAATATTGTGGTCCGTTCAGAAGATGTGTAACCAGCTTTCACAGCAAGTAAGCGTCTCCTTGAGAAAAAACGCCTGGCTGCATACAGGGTATTCCCAAACCTTTTCTTCTTTTGATTAATTCATGATTATTAAAATCAGCCTATTCACACAGGATACACCCACGTTTTGGGCTTTTCCATTTGTCAATTCTTTCTTCTCAGCAGAATTTTGCAGCTTTTGTAAACATTGCTTAATTTGGCACTACTACCATACTGTCAGGTGCTTGTTTATGACAAGCATGCCAAGATATGCAACACTGAAGTGAGAAAGATAACAACTGGCAGTCTGCCGTAGAGCGGACTGTATTTACAAGACACAAGCAAAGCTGAACCAGTATACTCTTTGTTACTTCTTATTCAAGGGTTGTTCAGATTCATCCAACAGGATTTATCAATACAGAGAGTTCACAGGAGGTCTGCTTTGTTTTTGTAGCGAGAACATTTATGACTGTGGACAGGAAAGCAAAGTTATCCAAACACTGACTAGGCACAAAGCCTCACATTAACAGTTGTCATGTGAGCGGACTGTCATATGACAGCTCTCAGGAACTTGCTCAGCAGCATTCACATCATGCAACTTAATACAGTAACAATCCCATACAACACAGCACCAGCATTTTTTTTTGGCATTGGATCTCATTCAATTCAACCTAGTGCAGGTTTCAACACCTGTTAAAACTAAAACTACCTTTGCCCTCCACTACAGATGAAGGCACATGATTTCCTTCTGGTCAGAACTGGCAAATGAACCAGGACCAGACAGGCCAAGAAGGATTATTTTAGTTTATTGCTAATTTTTTTAATTAAAAAAGGAATATTTAGAGCTCCATCAAAGCAAAAAACTTTCTAAACCCAGATAAAAAAAAAAAAACAATTTTAGCTTTACACATTTTACCGGAACAATTTGAGTTTACCTTACTCAAGAGTACAACAGCAGTACCCAATCTGAGATCTTAATCCAAAACCTTCCAGTTTAGTGCCCTCACCACACCTCCAAAGCGCATCACAAAAACACAACAGAAACCTTCAGCAGCATCATGAGTTAAAGTTAAACACGTTAACACAACTGCAAGAAAACAGCCATGTACGATAAGAATAGAATTGTTACTTTTATATAGTTTAAGACTAGATACTATTAGTGTCAAACAACTGTATACTGTTATCAAATACAAGTATTCATACATTTTAAGGATAGAACAGCTATAATAGTTAATAGAATATTGTAACTACTCTATTTACAATCATTTAAGGATATACCCTATATTTACTGTTCCAACAACATATTTACAGGACTTAGTTATAAGTAAGACAAAAACCCAAGATCATGTACAATGACTATTATAGTGAAAATAAAAAAAACACATTTATATTCATAAGTAGCCTAAAAATTAAGAAATCCTGACATGTTTTGGGGAAAATGGCAATTGTGTCAGTAAAAAAATATTTATGTTTGAAACACTTTTTAAATTAGATAAAGGGTTCCAAGCAACCTCCCAACCACCACAACAAAGAAGAATCACAATGCAGTGAGTCAGGTTTTTCAAGAAGGACACATGCTTGACTTTCACAATGTTGCCTTCAAAAGCATGTGACAAGATCGCAGCTACAATGCATCACAAGATCAAATATGCATGGAAACCAGACAAACATTCCCAAGTTCAATGACAGTAATCCCACTGAGGTGACTGCACATGCTTTGTAAATCTCTTATTTA